GTATCATATGGCAGTGCTACGACTGTCTGTTATCATGATTCATGATTATTAGTCGAAAGTGATCATTTTGATGAGAGAAGGAAAGTTTTGTGAGTTGGGGGCTCTTTATGAATTTTTAAAAAATTTCCTGTGGTACCCTTTCTGTTGCACCCTTTGTCTGCTATATATGTTGTCAGTTGATATCTGCAAATAACTAGATTAATTAAAATCTCTCATTGTTTAGGTGTTTTGTTCCAAGAGAACTTGGATCAGTGATCAGTCATCAAAGTTGAACCGGGTGATATGACAGGAAAAGAAAGATTATTTTCTACGAAACAGAATCATTTACAGTTGCTGTCTTGAATCTTGTAATTTGTAAAGAAGGTTAGTTTATAAAACGCCTTCCAGGCAATGTGGCATGAAAATTATATATTCTGAACAGGGCTTTAAATTCGCGGTATCCTGGCGATACCAGATTTATTTGGATGCTGGAAAATCACAAGCACAGTACCCCGAGGGATACTAAAAAAATTCTGTCCACAGCTGATATTTCTTGACAGGGTCTTAGCCAGGATTTGCAACTTGGGTGTCCAAATTTGAAATTTCGTTTATGACACCCAATTTTTTCCATATGGTACCATGGCACCACTTCATGCACCAGTAATTCAGCAATGTGATTATTCTTGAATTCTGGGAGTAATTTGTGACCACACTTGAGAATCACCCAAAAAACTAATAATATATTCAATTATTCAGATTATGTCACTACTCACTAGTCCCTACACTGACTACAGTAGTACAGTTTAAGTAAATCTGTGAATATATTAATTTTATTAATATTATGTTGTCACTTTCATGCTATAAATACAGTACTTGTAGCTTTGATAAGCTAGTGTAAGCAAAGAACACAACCAAAAAACAACAAAAAGCAACTGATTATCTCATATAGTTATATTCTGCGGTTTTTAATTTGGCAGCTAGGAATCTTTCCGCTGCAGCTTGCAAGTGAGCAATGTTTCTTTTCTATGGTATTTTATTCTCAGCAGCTTGTCTAACCGATCTATGGTCAGTTGTGTTTTTATGCGATTCTGAATGCTAAACACCCTTTCTGCTTCTGCATTTCCAACCATTACACACATTCAAGCAAGTTGCCATAGTTGAAAACTAGGCGAGTCTATGGCCTTTTAGCTAGCCGTCCAAAAGGCGTCACCATGATAGCGAACCGTCCAAAAGCCGTCTTTTTTAGAAGGCCGTTCAAATTTGAAAATGGCCTTCCAAAAGACGGCTGGACGGTAGGCTGGCTAAGACCCTGTTTCTTGACAAAATACCATCAAACAATAATATAAACAAAGGCGACTGAATTCAATTTGACTGAGCAAGAAAGACACACTCAAAAAAGTGCCAAAGCCAAGCAAAGTATGAAGAAACAAAAATTTAAAAGGCTTGAAAAAATCCTTTCCATGGGTAATGCTCGTGAACGAAAAGATATCTTGCAAATGTGGGGTAGTAGATTTTCTCGATGGATATCAGATTTTAAGTTGCTATAGTATCCTGTTGGATACTGCTGAAAAATTCAAATTTGAAGTCCTGCTGAATAATATGTTTTATCCCTTGGGGGAATTAATCCAATCTAAGCCAATAAACGCAGAAGCCCTGTGTCCGTGAACATTTTTTATCAGTCGCACGTAATTGTTTTGATGATAGAAATGGTTATAGACAATGTTCAGAAAGTTTGGATTAATAATTCCTGGCTTTTTTTAATTTAAAAAAATTCCTGTGGTCTCCCTTTGCTGAGCACAGGTTGCCACTTGCCTGTGGTTGCCCCTTTGCAAAATGTTTTAAAACATGTTTTTATCACTTGAAAGTGATTGTTGAAATCTGTTTCAATGTTAAACATTAACAGATTTTCATAACAGGCTAAAAAACAGCAAAAAAGTGGGGCTATAGCCTTCTTTTCGTCCATTTTGACAATTTTTTCTGCCAGATAATGCGATGAAGTATGGTTTTTGAAGCAAACTATAGTTTGACCTTTTTTAATCTTGAAATTGATGGAAATGTGAAAGAAATTGAATTAATAATCTGAGTATCGAAGTTCAATAGAGTCATTTTTATAAAGAAATGTTGCAATTAGGAGGATATTTATAATTAGATAGCTCGTATCCATTGATATTTGTTTGCAATTTCTCAATATTTTTCGATGCAAATGGACAGAAGATATTGATATTGAATTCACCACAGGATACTCAAGTACGCCTGAAAATGAAAGTCTAAAAAATGTTTTAACACCCTCTAGGGTGATTGAACTTCGGTATATATGATGCCATATTGGTTGCATTAACTTGCAAAGGCTTCCTTTATTTAGCTCTTCCCATCGCTCCTTGCATGCTCACTTTTCCCTCCCTAAAAACTTCATGTAAGCCTCTGTGGAGGAGAGGGGAAAAACGACAAAAAATAAGGCTATTATAGCCTTTACTTTTCATCGATTTTCACAACTTTTTTCATTAAGGCCTGTGATCCCCCCTTTGCATTTGACCCAAAGTTTGGAATGGCTTGGGGCAGTTTTGGGAAAATTTCCAGTTGTCCCCCCGGGCCCTTTGTTGATCCTGGGGTTGCCTGTGTTCCCCTCCTTGCATTTGACCCAAATTTTTCGAAACATGTTTTTATGAGTCGGAAGTGATAGTTTTCATTAGAGAAAGAAAGTTTTGTGAGTTGGGGGATCTTTATGAATTTTTAAAAAATTTCCTGTGGTACTCTCATTTTTAACCCATCGAGTCTCATTGTGCCCAGATGCTCTCTGAGTGCTCAATGCGCCCGATTGTGCACAGATGCGCCCTGCTTTGTAATGTTTACTCTGTCTAACGCCAGACGATTTTACTCCTCAAGGGGAGAGTGCTGGCGCTTAATGGGTTAAACACAAAAGTTGGCCTATCTGCCCATGGGTGTATATAACCCATTGAGTCGCATAGAATAGAAGAATAATTTATTTAATGTCGAATGACACAGAGTGTGGTTGCCCAATCACTCGAGCCAGGGGCTCATGATAGAAGTGCTCAATGCGCCCGATTGTGCACAGATGCGCCCTGCTTTGTTATTTTACTCTGTCTAACGCCAGACGATTTTACTCCTCAAGGGGAGAGTGCTGGCGCTTAATGGGTTAAACACAAAAGTGTGAATTTTCTTTGGTTGCCTATGATCCCCCCTTTGCATTTGACCCAAAGTTTTTTAAACAAGTTTTTCTAAGTCGAAGGTGATTGTTTTGATGAGAGAGAGAAAGTTTTGTGAGTTGGGGGATCTTTATGAATTTTTAAAAAAATTCCTGTGGTACTCCCATTTTTAAAAACAAAAATATGAATTTTTCTGTTGCATCCTTCGTCTGGTATCAGTTAGATAAGATATGTTGTCAGTTGATATTTGCAAATAACTAGATTAATATCTTTCATTGTTTAGATATTTTGTTCCAAGAGAATTTGGATCAATGAGCAGTCCTCAATGTTGAACCGGATTACATGACAGGAAAAGAAAGATTATACCAAACAGAATCATCTACAGTCGCTGTCTTGAATCGTTTAAATAAGGTTAGTTTATAAAACGCCTTCCAGGCAATGTGGCATGAAAATTTTAAATTCTGAATAATATGTTATCCCTTGGGGAATTCATCCAATCTAAGCCAATAAATGCAAAGCCCTATGTCAGTGAGCATTTTTTATCAGTTGAAAGTAATTGTTTTGATGAGAGAAATAAATGCTTATCGACAATTTTCAGAAAGTTTGGAATAATAGTTCCGGGCCTTTTTTATTTAAAAAATTCCTGTGCTCTCCCTTTCTTGAGCACAGATTGCCACTTGCCTGTGGTTGCCCGCTTTGCAAAATGTTTTAAAACGTGTTTTTATCAATTGAAAGTGATTGTTTTGATGAGAAAATGTGTCTCAATGTTTACTTTTTGTCCATTTTGACATAAAGCAACAAAAAAGCAAGGCTATTTTGATTGACAATTTTTCATCGCTAGCTTTTGGAAAAAAAAGAAAGAAATTAAAGAAATCACTTCAACAGAAGAACAAAGTGATTTAAAACGAAAAACTAAAAAAAGAGAAATTGAAGAAATCACTTCAACAGAAGAACAAAGTGATTTAAAACTAAAAAAAAAAGAAAGAAATTGAAGAAATCACTTCAACGGAAGAACGAACTTTAAAACGAACAACTACAATGCTTGAAACATATAAGACGACTTTTTCATAACTGGGCAGAAAACAGCAAATAAGTAAGGTTATGGCCTAAACAACAGCAAAAAGCAATTCATTTTCCGTAAAGAGACAAAAAGGAGAAAAAAGGTAAGGCCTATCCCCTTTACTTTTACTTGGCGACTTTTTTCACGTCCATTTTTAGCGACTTTTTTCATAAGTGGGCAAAAAACAGCAAAAAAGTAAGGCTATATTTCATTTTTCATAAGTGGCCAAAAAACAGCAAAAAAGCAAAAAACAGCAAAAAAGTAAGAAACATGAAAAACGGCAAAAAAGTAAGGCTATATTTCCATATAGCCTTAACTTTTCGTCCATTTTTGGCGACTTTTTTCATTTTTCATAAGTGGGCAAAAAAGTTATAGCCTTCGTCCATTTTTAGCGACTTTTTTCATAAGTGGGCAAAAAACAGCAAAAAAGTAAGGCTATATATATATAGCCTTAAGGAACTTTTCGTCCATATTTAGCGATTTTTTTTTCATTTTTCATAAGTGGCCAAAAAACAGCAAAAAAGCTTTCCATTTTTCACAAGTGGTCTCAAAAACAGCAAAAAAGTAAGAAGAACAGCAAAAAAGTAAGGCTATATAGGCTTAACTTTTCGTCGCCTTCGTCCATTTTTAGCGACTTTTTTCCTTTTTCATCAGTGGGTAAAGAACAGCAAAAAAGTAAGGCTATATAGGCTTAACTTTTCGTCCATTTTTGCCGCCTTTTTTCATTTTTCCATTTTGAAAAACATGGAACTGAAAAACATTTCAAACGTGAAAAGCGGCAAAAAAGTAAGGCTATTATTTTTCATAAGTGGGAAAAAAACAGCAAAAAAGTGAGGCTATACCCTTTACTTTTCGTCCATTTTTAGCGCCCTTTTCCATTTTTCAGCAGTGGGCAAAAAACAGCAAAAAAGTAAGGCTATATCACTTTTCGTCCATTTTTAGCGCCTTTTTCCATTTTTCAGCAGTGGGCAAAAAACAGCAAAAAAGTAAGGCTATAGCCTTCGTCCATTTTTAGCGACTTTTTTCATTTTTCATAAGTGGGTAAAGAACAGCAAAAAAGTAAGGATATACCTTAACTTTTCGTCCATTTTTAGCGACTTTTTCCATTTTTCATAAGTGGGTAAAAAAAAACAGCAAAAAAGTAAGGCTATAGCCTTCGTCCATTTTTGGCGACTTTTTCATTTTTCATAAGTGGGAAAAAACAGCAAAAAAGTAAGGCTATACCCTTAACTTTTCGTCCATTTTTGGCGACTTTTTTCATTTTTCATAAGTGGGTAAAAAAAACAGCAAAAAAGTAAGGCTATAGCCTTCGTCCATTTTTGGCGACTTTTTCATTTTTCATAAGTGGGAAAAAACAGCAAAAAAGTAAGGCTATAGCCTTAACTTTTCGTCCATTTTTGGCGACTTTTTTCATTTTTCATAAGTGGGTAAAAAACAGCAAAAAAGTAAGGCTATAGCCTTAACTTTTCGTCCATTTTTGGCGACTTTTTTCATTTTTCATAAGTGGGCAAAAAAGTAAGGCTATAGCCTTCGTCCATTTTTAGCGACTTTTTTCATTTTTCATCAGTGGGTAAAGAACAGCAAAAAAGTAAGGCTATATACCCTTAACTTTTCGCCATTTTTTCATTTTTCATAAGTGGGCAAAAAACAGCAAAAAAGTAAGGCTATAAAAAAAGTAAGGCTATAGCCTTCGTCCATTTTTAGCGACTTTTTTCATTTTTCATAAGTGGGTAAAGAACAGCAAAAAAGTAAGGATATATAGGCTTAACTTTTCGTCCATTTTAGCGATTTTTTCCATTTTTTATAAGTGGCCAAAAAACAGCAAAAAAGTAAGGCTATACCCTTTACTTTTCGTCCATTTTTAGCGACTTTTTTCATTTTTCATAAGTGGGTAAAAAAAGCAGCAAAAAAGTAAGGCTATATACCTTTTTTCATTTTT